GAGCAAGCCTCCCAGAGCTGAGCACCTCATAGTCCTGGTGCAGAAGGCAAATTATTGCCTGAGTGAAGGAATGAACCCACATCTAGTTACCTGCAAATGACAGGCTTCCAGGATTTTTCCAGATTTATAACGCAATAAACCAACAAGCTGAAGATTGACCTCTTGGCATTGTCCAAAGCATTGGTGGTGAGGCAGGCAGTGCAATGAGGAGACTCAATGTGGCCCCAAATCCCTCCTAAGAAGCAAAATGATGGAGAATGGGGGGAAGGTTTTTTGTTTGGATTAAGATTGTAACATGGTGCTGTAGAAAGCCTTAAACCCCACGATTTCCACTTGCAGTAACCAGTTTTGGCTATTTCTCCCACTTCCTTGTAGTCCCCTGTAGTGTTTGAAGGTGGGCTGATTGACTGTGGTGTGCTGGGTTCCACAGCCCTTTGTGCGCATGGAGAACTGGGGCTCTGCGTAGCAGGAGGGGAATTTGGATTTAATTGGTGTGAGGAGAGGGTGGTTAAGCCTTAGGACCATGCTCAGAGTCTGGCCTGGAGCGGTGAGGTTTGGTTCTTCAGACGTGTGGGTCTAAACTGCGTTAAACCAATACCGCAATCACAGCGGCTCTTTGCTCAGCCCCTTGTTTTCCGCTTGGAGGTTGGTGTTTTCCTCTGCCAAGCTGCATTTATTGCATCTCCTCTCAGAGAGCTGTGTAGATCAAACTGCTGTGTCTTCCCTCTCTCGTGTTTGTTGCTCCTTTGGTGGCATTTGAAACTTATGAACCGGCGTTACCAAACCCTCCTGCTCTGGGGTAAGCCTCAGGGCAGCGGCTGCTGGAAGACGCGCTGAGCTGCGACACTTGGCTTGCTCCAGCCTTGCCTCCCGAAGTTCTGTGTGCCTGTGGATAGCATCAGCGTTGGCTCTCTAGAGCCAGACTTTATGGTGTGGAAATAGGAATATTTCTTGCTAAGCCAAAGCATTGCCCTAGGTTGTGCTGTAGTGTTTTGGAATGACGCTACTGGTGGTGATGGAGCCAAGTCCGCAGCTACGCCAGGGACGAAGGCTGGGCTTGGGTGTTTGTCCTTCCTCCTCTTTCAGTGCGTTTGGGAGCTCTTTGGAAGTGGCTGGGAATCCTCTGCCTGGAGACGGATGGGCACCTCTCGGTTTTATTCAGAAGGCAAAGGTGAGGAATGCTTCTCTTGTCCTCTCGCAGGAAGACTTTATGTGCAGTCCTGAAGGAATATTCAGGCGCAGCACAGGGATCAGTGCTGGAGCATGGGGTTGGGAGCAGGGTCCTGTATGGCTCGTGGCTTTTCACTGGAGGCTTTCAACAACATTAATAATTCACAGGGGCAGATGATTGATGTTCCGAGAGTGATCCTACTGTATGGCTCGCAAGGTGTATCGGCATGCAAAATACAGCTCAGGCTCCTCGTTCTTCTCATCCCTTTCTGCCTGTAAATAGATTTTATGTCAGTGTGTGTGTGTCTGGAGATGCACTATTAGAGGCTGAATGTTTTCTGTACAGGGGCTGGCGATCCCACAAGTGGAAATGTGTGATTCTGGTCTTCAGTCTTCATGAAGAGTACCGCTGGGGTTGGATTGTGGGTTTATGATAGTGGTTACTGTTCAGGCTCCCTCCAGCCATGGCAGAGACCCAACAGCTTGCTAAATCCTGAGGTCTTTTCTTCTCAGCCTGTATTTTGAAGCAATGCCCATGGAAAAATCACGGTTTGGGTGTTTCCATGCGCTAGAGCTGCTTGTGAGTGCTCCGTACAGCTCAGGAGATCCTGTTGATCCCAGTGGCCATGGCCCATGTCTGAACTTAACCTTGATGACAGGATGAAGATAGTTCCTTTATCTGATTGCAAGTGAGGAAATACATGTCTTAAAATAATGAATGGTCCCTGAAGAGCATCTTTTCATTAGCATATGTGTGTGTGTGAAAGCCTCCAGTCTATAAATACGCAGTAGTTTCCTCCTCTGAGTTGATGGGGAGCCCATCCCGGCTCTGCAGAAGTGTTTCTATCCCACAGCACTTGTTTGCATCCCAGGGACATGACGGGGCAGGAGTGTGCTGGGTCACACCATGTATCAGGAGCCCGGTGAAGCGGGATGAGGAGCCAAAGATCCCATTTTGCTGGAAACGTCTCCTTTTTATTGCACTTTCTCACTGGGGATGGTTTCAAACCCCAGCCAAGCGGTACTTAACAAGAGCCCAGACCTAAAAGTGCACCTCAGACCCAACATTGGGTGATGTTAACTGCTGATTTGTTATCACTAGGGCTGTGTTATTGCATTAGATGCAGTGGAACAGGGGGGTGTGAGTGGTGTGTGCTGCAGCCTGTCCGGCGCGGGCAGGGAGCATCTGCCTGTACTTGCTGCCATTCTTGCCCGCTGGCTGCCGCACACCCGGGTGTGTGTAGGAGTCTGCAGCACCAACATTAACCATTACCCTAGGGAAAGGTAATTATTCCTGAGGAATCATACCCTGTTAACGAGGAGCTGTGCTTAACTGCTTTTGTGCTGTTCGGAAGGTTGTTTCATCTTCGCTCCCCACGCTGCCAACGCGCTGGGGATGGCCCCAGCATCATCCCAAGCACAGTGAGTCCAGCCCTGCAGCATGCATCCCTGTTTGGTGCTAGGATCAGGGACAGCCAAGATTGTGGCAGATAAAAATATAGACCTTGAGTGGTTTTAGTCCCTGTCCTGTGTTTTAGGCATCTACGCTATGGTGCAGGGAGCAGCAGGGCACCACTCTGGGGGTTTTCCTTAGTGCTGGAGGAAGGCTGGAGCCTCCCAGAGCCCCCTGCTCCTCATCTTCATCATGTCAAAAGGAGCGTGAGCATCAGCAGAAGGAAGGGATTCTCCCCTTCTACTGCACTCTGGGAAGACCTCCCCCTGCAGTCCTGGTCCAGCTCTGGGGCATCAGCACAAGAGGGACATGGAGCTGGTGAGCTTTAAGGTCCCTTCCAACACAAACCAATCTGAAGTTCTAGGATCTTTTCCCTCTTACATGCAGCTCTTTTTAGGGAGCAGCTCCTGGCCTTGTGTTTGCTCAGAGCCTGGTGTAAGAAGCTATGCCTCCTGAACAGGACCTGTAGGTCTTGCTGCATGCCAATAGGTTTGATGCAAGGACCATCAGAATGCAGCAATGTAGAAGTCCTGTGGAGCTTCTTAATGACCGTACAGTGGCCCTATCTACTTGTTGCTGTCAAAGAGCTTGATGTCCCCAGGCCATCCCCAGCAATGGGGGAGGCTCCTGAGCAGAACTTGGGGGTCCATCTGCTGTAACAGAGGTGCCTGAGCTGCCTCCAGCATCGCTGGGGGTGATGGGGACACGTTGCTGTGTTAGTCAACTGGTCCTTCGGCCACCCCATCCTCCCTTGCGTCATAATCTCCTCGCATGAGCCCGGGCTACCATAAATACCATATATACAATATATAAATAGCATAAACATGTGATCTGGGCTCACAGACTGTGTCATTTTGATGGTCTAAAAAGCTATACTTTTCCATTTGTCGGTTTCCATTTGGTCATTGGGTTGCCCAGAAGTTAATGATGAAGCTACCAATAAATTGCATATCATAAACCCACCAGGGTCTCATAAGAAGCTGCAGACTGTAGCAGGGGCCCTTGGGAAGGGTAAATCTTTGGGATATGTATTGATTCCCACTCCTGGCTTTGCACTCTGCATGAACTTTATCCTCACACAAGAATAGAAGGTGATTTTTCTTTACCAGCCAGCTGGCCTTCAAATGAGCTACTGATAACACCATCACAAGCTCTAATCCCAGTAAACACAGGGAAGATGATTTATGAGCTGGGAACAGAAGCCGTATCAGTTCACAATGAGGTTTAATACTTGTTTGAGGCATACTCTCAAATATTGTCCTTAAATGTCACAGTTGGGTTTTGACTGCATGGAGCAAGATCAGTGCAAACGGTGGTTTTGGTTGTTAACTGCAAGGCAAATAGCAAAACACGATTAGAGGAGTGATTTGGGGAAAACACTGTTTTCCATAATCAGATTTGAAGTGCAATCTGTCTGCTTTTACACAGAGTAAGTTAATGGGCGAGGATGGCAGGAGGTGAGGCAGAGCTGATGGTCAGGTCTGGGTGGTGCTCTGTAAGCCTGGCTTGCAGTTCTTGACATGTGCTCATTGTGCAGCCGTTAGCTTTTCCTACCTAAGGAATAGGTAAGGATCAGGAGGTCTGGTGTGGCCCTGAGGATGTCAGGGCTGGGAGCTCTCCCCTTCCTTGTAGACAGCTCTTTGCCTTGCTTTTTCCCCAAAGGGCTCTTCATGGTTTGGGAATCAGGGAGTAACTGGGATGGGATGGGGGCATCCAGGGGATTTCACAGTCCTGATAATGCTGGAAAGGCTTTTTCTGCTGGACATCTGCTCCCAGTTGGTGTGGGGGCAAGGGCTGCTGGGAGATCAACCCTGGGGCTTCAATGAGCCCTTCTTTCACAGCTTGGTATCTTCGGTATAGGAGATATGAGTTCCCTTTATTGAAGGGAAGATTCAGAAGAAACTTTATCTGTCTATCTATCTATTTGTCAGTCTGTCTATCCATCCATCTATCAATCAATCTGTTTATCTATTTATCTATCTATCTACCTACCTACCTCCCTACCTATGCATGTGCCTATCTATTTATCTCTCTGTCTGTCTATCTATCTACCTATCTACCTACCTGCCTACCTATCCGTGTGCCTGTCTATCTATCTATCTATCTGTCTGTCTACCTAAAATACTTCTGTACCTGCGGATCACCTCATGCACTTTACGTGCTTCCACCAGCTCGCGCCGTCACTCGTCCTGTGAAACAGCTCTGCACTGATGAGGTGCAGAGGATCACCAGCAATGTTTCATACTCTAACATAAATACTCGGGTGGAGGAGCCACCCTCGGGGTGTTTTTAGGTCAGCTCTCACCCCTTGCTCAGCGCACCCACCCTCCATCCCCCAGGCACGTCCCTTAAAGCTGTTCTCTCTGTATGCACACAGGGAGTTTTCCACGCCCAGAGGCTGTTCCTGCACATGCCCCAAGGAGCTGGTGGGGCTGAACCTTTCCTGGAGGAACATGGACTGAAAGAGGAGCTTCACCAGACCTCAGCTGCTGGTGCCCTTCGCCTGGACCCTGATGGACTCCACGTCAGGACTGCATTACCATGGTGATGATCTTAACCAAACCGCGGCAAAACAAAGGTGCTGACTCCGTAACAAGCAGGACTGAGCTGGTAAGCTTCCTGAGAGCTTTCTTCCAAACTCTGTTGCCACAGCTTTGCCATAGATTTATAATAAGGGCTTCTTGTGCTGCAGGGCTGGATCTTCACACTGTGGAATCCTGGAATGGTTTCTGTTGGAAGGGACCTTAAAGCTCATCCAGCTCCAACCCCTGCCACGGGCAGGGACACCTTCCATTAGAGCAGCTTGCTCCAAGCCCCTGTGTCCAACCTGGCCTTGAACCCTGCCAGGGATGGGGCAGCCACAGCTTCTCTGGGCACCCTGTGCCAGCGCCTCAGCACCCTCCCAGGGAAGAGCTTCTGCCTAAGAGCTCATCTCAGCCTCCCCTCTGGCAGGTTAAAGCCATTCCCCTTGGCCTGTCCCTACAGGCCCTTGTCCCAAGCCCCTCTCCAGGTTTCCTGCAGCCCCTTCAGGCACTGGAGCTGCTCTAAGGTCTCCCGCTCAGGAGCCTTCTCTTCTCCAGGCTGACCCAGCCCAGCTCTCTCAGCCTGGCTGCAGAGCAGAGCTGCTTCAGCCCTCGCAGCATCTCCATGACCTCCTCTGCACTCACTCCAACAGCTCCTGTTGCCCCAAAGCTGAACACAGGAGATGGTTTATAGCACTGTTTTCTACCGAGCTGCATTAATATCCAAGGAGCAGGGGATTAGGGACTGATTGGAGTGCTGTGGCTGTTGCATATATGAATTTCAGTAAGCATGCAATGAAATAAACAATAGAAAAAACATTATATCAACACCTTGAATAACATGGGTGAGAAGTTGCTTCACCAACAGTGAACAGATGCTCATCATTAATAGATGGATGAGTAAGTGGGGAGCAGGATTGAGTGTGAGATGGCAAAGGGCAGTGCTGTAGTACATAACAGTTGCTGGCAGCCTGGACTGATGCAAATGCAACCACACTGGTTGAGCAGGCAACAAAAGAGCAAGTGAAGAGCAGCAGACAGACTAAATGATGCTGGAAGGGACAAGCAAGGCCATGGGGCTGAGAAAGCCCAGAGCTGATTGTGGATGTTTGCTCCTCTGTCCTCCAGGATAGATGGCCATAGCCAGAGAAGGAATTAGACCAAAAGGCTATTCTTGCACTGAGAGTCTCAGATAATGGTGTGCAGGAGCACAGCAGGAAGCATCTGGGAGGATTAGCCCTAAATGGGCATGTTGAGCATAAAAGATATATAAATATCTTAAGTTTGGTGAGGATGACAAACTCTCCAGCTGGGCTTCCTGGGCAGATAGTGCAGTGTGCTGGGTGAAGGGCAACCTGCCCTGGGAGCGCATGGTGGAAGAGAAGGCAAGCAAGGTGGAGGCAGCGTTAAATCCTGCCTTAAAAGGGGGAAATTTGGGAAGGAAGGATATTGATCTGTTGGAAAAATGCCCTTCTTTAGTGCTGGCTCCTGCTGGGAAGGCAGCATCTCCTGTGGCTGCTGCTCTGGGCACCAAGAGGCAGCATCTGGTGGTGGCTGTGTCCTGCAGGTGTGCAGGGCAAGAGGAGGGAAACTTGCTGCAGAGGCACATGAGAAATGGTTTCTTCTGCTCCTGCGGGAAGGGATGGGCACTGGGGCTGGCCGATGGCAGGGAGTGGAGGTGCAGAGCTGTAATGAGAAACTTTGCCCCCACGTGTTTGCCGAGTGCCTCCTGCAGCCCTGGAGCTGGGTCAATAGTGCAGTGATAGTTCTGGTTACACAAGGTGGATTGCTGGGTTGTCTGGGCTGTTGAACTGGGGCAAAAAGACTGGTCCTCCAAAGAAAGAAAGAGTTCTTCCATTGACTTCATGGGAAAGGCCAAAAAGCAAAGCCTAAAAGACATAAATGTCTGAGCAGTGGAGCACCTACCAAAATCTGGTCATAGAATCCCAGACTGGTTGGAAGGGACCTTAAAGCTCATCCAGTTCCAACCCCTGCCACAGGCAGGGACACCTTCCACTAGAGCAGCTTGCTCCAAGCCCCTGTGTCCAACCTGGCCTTGAACACTGCCAGGGATGGGGCAGCCACAGCTTCTCTGGGCACCCTGTGCCAGCTTTGCCCAAAGAGTTATACTCAATATGGGACATGTCACATAAAGTTGTTGGGCACTCTTTGGAGACAGCTGCTTGTCCTTGCTGTCTCCTGATTAATTCTAACCTGCTGCTTCCTAAGGTGGGGCTTGACAGCTGGAGATACCCTTACTACACATAGAAAAGTGGCACATGCTCCAAAGAAGATGATCAGCTCTTATTTACATTATGTCTGGATCCCATCGTTGTTTTCTGCCTCCACATCCCTCTATATTCACTGTTTACAGTATTATGTGTATAAAGTGGGATCCTTTTATTGGATTGCTCTGTGGAAGCAGGTTCCAGTATTTATTATTATAATTATTATCATTATATATTACATTATTATTATCATCATCCTCATGTGAGCAAGCAACGTGTAAGATGTGGATGAGGAGAGAAGGTGCGAATGTGGTGGCCTAACGCCAGATAAACCGCAGCCGTGGTAGCACGGATGAACAGAGAGGTCATGCTGGTGCTTCCCTCAGATGATGTAAAGCCTTGCTCAGTGGTGTTGCCAGGAGACACTTCAGAAGCAGAATATGGATATTTTGGGGGATAATAAAAGAACAATTAGTATGGAAGTGATTTGCAGGCATAGCTGAAATGGCATGTAGCTGCAGATGACATTGATTTATTGCGTATAGAACTGTCCATGCCCATTTTTAGAAGTCTGATGATGTCTCTCACACTGTCAAGAGGAAAATTCTTGGGGAAAAAAAGAGCATATAAAACAACTGGGATTGTTTTGCACCCGTATAGTTGCATTTCCCCCTATTTTTAGTGCAAATCAGCACAATCTGAATGTGGACTCCCCAGAAGCGCTGTGGTGAGGGCCTTAGAAACGCTCTATGTTTAAAAACCTAAATAGAATCATAGAATAGTTTTGTACCTAGATGGGAGGACTTAATGGGCTTGGACGGGGTTCAGATGCCACTGCTGCTGCTTACTTGTCAGTGAATTCAGTACAGAACTGCCCCTGAATTCCAGCTCCCAACTCAGTTTCTCCAGTGTTTTGGGTCCTGGGGCTGGGACCTCACTGCAGCTATTCCCATGGGTAAGGACTAGCTGCAGGACCCATAATCTGCAAGTTTGTGCCTCACCACCATCCCCAGAGTTAATGAAATTGGATTTCATTGATGGAAGATGACTGGGTCTGTCCCCTGGTCCCTTCTGAAACAGGACCATTGTGGGCACCCAAGGCTCTTCTCCCTCCTGGGTGCAATGTAGCATTGTCAGAGCTGGAGGCAGGGTGGTTTCTGGTGCCCCGTTCGAGTCTGCGGGAAGTGAACGGTTTCTCTGGTTGTTTGCAGCACACTCCAAAGATGAGTCAAGGACCTACCCTCTTCTCTTGTGGCGTGATGGGTAAGTAGGAGACACTTCTGTCTGTGTTTACTGCACCTCCGTTCCTGCTTTCAAGTATCATAGAATGGTTTGGGTTGGAAAGGACCTTAAAGCTCATCCAGTTTCAACTCTGTGCCATGGGCAGGGACACCTCACACTAGACCATATCACCCAAGCCCCATTCAACCTGGGCTTAAACACTGCCAGGGATGGAGCATTTATCACTTCTTTGGGCAACCTGTTCCAGTAAATAGCAACAGGTGGGAAGATGTCCTGAACAGTTCAGTCTCCCCCAAAACACTCCCCTGTAGCCCCTGGGGTGGGCATCACCAACCTGCCCAACACAGTGTGGATGGAGGGGCACCCATCCCACCACCCGCTAGTGGTGTCCATCCTGCTCATGCCACCCTCCTTCCCAGAGGTTCTGCCAGTTACCACTGCTGAGTGAATTGCTTATCTCCTTCCCCCTCCCCTTTGATACATCTGCTTATTTTTATAGTAACAGTTGAGATTATAAGCACTTTGGGTCTGAGGCTGTGTTCGAGTATCCAGCCCATGACCATGGCTCTTGAACTGTTGGCAGAGTGCAAGTAATATATATCAGTGTTATCACTAAAACGTTCTACCACTTGGCACAAAGTGTTTGGACAGGCCTCAAACAAGAAGGAAAATGTCTTAATTTTGCCTTTGATGGTAACCATGGTATAGGATGTTGAATAACTTTTATGTCAGAGCTTACTATCAATTTTTATGCTGAACAGCCCCCAAAACTGACGGGGGATTGGTGCCTTGGCCCATGATGCTGATAGTGCTGGAGGCTGTGCTGGTACATTGTGCTCTTTGGGCTTTGTAGGGGGAAGCAGTCACTCGGTTAAGTCTCAAAACCCCATTAAAACTTGCAGGTCAAGTTTTACTTTGAGCCAAGCTGCTTGCTGTGAAAGCCAGGACTTTACAGACAAAAGAGCTGCCCCTTTTCCTCATGGACACAACTCTCATTAGTGCTAATGGGACCTGAGCATTGACAGGAGATATTTCCCAAGCTTTCTGCTAACTCCGGGCACTTGGAGGCAGGGAAAGATGGAAAGCATTTGGAGTTTTTCAGATGGAAGTCACAAGCTTCTGAGTCAAGAAGGGGTAGAGACAGCCCGTTCCCTTTCTCCTGCCTGTCAAGCATGAGTGAGGAACAAAGAAACCCGATCAGATGGTTTTGTCTTGCACTGCGGCACTGGCAGGCTCTCCAGCAGATCTGATGAGTCTATGCCTAATTGAAAAGCAGCTTGTCTTAAAGAGCTTTTACAAAGCCTTCTGTGTCTTCCTAGCGCTGCTCTGATCTTCCTTGGCTGCCAAATGATCCTCTTTCCGAGGGGAACAAATGTCACCTCCTTGATCACAGCTTGCCATGTAATGGGCTTCATCATACCCAGTCCAGAGGAGCCAGTCTCTCCAGAATGCAAGGGCATCACTTAGCTTGGGTTTCATTTTAGGCATCCTTCCTGAGTGTTGTTCTTAATGTCTCTAAACGTGGGTCACAATCAGACTTGCTTGACTTTTTAAAGAAGACCTATGGTTATAGTGGCACCGAATGCAAAACTTAGGGAATGTTCCAGATCAAAGGGTAAAGTCCCTGTTGGTGGAAAGCACTGAGATAAATGAACACAGTGGAGTTTGGACTGGCAGCACAGCCAGCAGAAGGCAGAGACTTATAGTCCAGTGGGTGATGTTGGTGGGATGGGGGGATATTGGCTTAATTTTCCAGGTTTTTACCTGGAAGAGGCTGAGGTTCTTGGCATGGGATCTTCCTGGCTGCCTTTGGAGCCAAGGGCAGCTTTGGCAGGAAGGCAGCTTGTGGCTGGTCCCAGTGGCCATGGGTCAGCAGGGCAGGCTGCTGGGAGAGCATCATCCAAACCTGGATGGTGGCTCAGGAGCACATTCTCCAGGAAGCAGAAGGAAGAAGCTGGGTCAAAGCCCCAAGGGGTGTGTAATGCACCATGACCAAGAAACCAGCTGGGGTCCTGCTTACCTGTGGCATAACATGGGGAAAAAGAGTAAACTGAAGCCCTTGCATCTTAGATGCACCTTACCTCATAAGGTTCTAAACAAATCAAGAGCCTGAAAATTGGTTATAGATTGGAATGTAACTCAATATATGAGTAGACATTATGAAAGACTTATACATCAGATGATGCAATGTTAGATCCACTTCTCAACGTGGCCTATATAACCTTCTGATTTTTAGATTTTAAAGAAATACTCCTGCCAGTGTGATGATAATACTAAAAAGATTGGATTTATCTTTATATAGCCCTTTGCTGGAAGGAAGATTAGAGGTGAAATGCCTGGAAACATAAATGCAACAACTTATTTTTTCCTTTCTCCTTGAAGCGTCTGGAAGTATAAGAATTGTCCTGTGGCATAAGGATCTTTTTCTCCTCCCCTTTTCTTCCCCTGCAGTCGCATGTGAATGGCTGTGCTAGAAAAAGAAGGTGACATAAAGTTGGGGCATTACTTTTGAGTTCCTCTGTTGAAATTGCTCAGCCTTTGAATGGATGGCAGAAGAAAATTTAGGCTATTTTAACAAGGCATTGGCAGCATCACCTTACCTTCCCCTAGTGGGTATATAAGAAGTAATCAGCATCGAAGTCAGTAGCACCAGAGGCTGCACTAGTCTGGTCCTGTATGAGAAGCTCAGCAGGAACATGCTGACAGCCTTGGCCTCCTGGTTTCTGCATAAGCAAGAAGTTATCTTTGAGGCAAGCTGCAGGCTGGGGTTTATTGAGGCTGTGACAAGGTGCTTGCAAGTGCAATCACTCTGGATGTAGGATGGGAGTCCCGGCGCAGAGAGTGTTGCACGCACAGTCCTGCTTGTAAAAGGGAGGAAGAGGATGGGTTTGAGCCCATTGGGAATGGATGCTGCATACATCTGTGAAATGCTCTTTTAATATAACCATCATATGCTTTTTCCTTGGAAAGCACCCCCAGAATTTGGCCTCATAGAGTGCTGCAGCAGAGCAGGATGATGGATGAAGCGCGTGGGTCAGTTCATACGTCCTTTGGAACACTCCACCACTGGCATGGCTTGGCAACACCTCTCATCCAAGGGGCAAGCATACCAGAGAGGTTGGAGCCTTGGTCCTTGTTGTTGCACATCTCTTCATGTGGAAGTGGCATTTCATCCTGCATGGGTGATGGAGGAAAACCAAGAAGCCAGAAGAAAGGCCAGCCCCTTGATTGTATCCCAAGAGCACCCACAGGGCTTGCACCCTTCTCATTTCTGAACTGTGATTTTCAGGGATTTCAGGGGATTTTTGGAAAGGCCATTAATGTAGAGCAGTATCTTGGTGCATCTTCAAGCACAGTCAACCTGGAGACAGAAAAAGCCATGCAGGGAAATCCATTGAGGCTCCTCTGGAGCAGGGAGACCTCACCAGAGGCTCACGGTGAAGAGCAGGGCACGTTTTGCTGTTCAGATGGGGAATTTCCCTCTCCAATGCCAGCTGCTGGCACCAGGAGCCCACAGCACTGGTGTGTTTATTCTCCAGCGGTAGGTTTGGGGGTTGTTTTCATTTCCCATTGAAGCAAAGCTCTGCACATCATATTTTAATCTCATTTCTGCAATGGGAAGGCTCCACGGCACTGCCACCAGCTAATTACAACCAGTACATTTGTTCCACATTTATAGAATCATAGAATAGTTGGGGTTGGAAAGGACCTTAAGATCATCCAGTTCCAACCTCCCTGCAATGGGCAGGGACACCTTACACTAAACCGTGTCACCCAAGGCTCTGGCCAGCCTGACCTTGAGCACTGCCAGGGATGGAGCATTCACAACTTCCCTGGACAACCCATTCCAGTGCCTCACCACCCTCACAGTAAAGAATTTCCTCCTTATATCCAGTCTAAACTTGCCCTGTTTCACTTTTAACCCGTTACCTCTTGTCCTGTCACTCCATTCCCTAATGAAGAGTCCCTCCCCAGCATCTCTATAGGCCCCCTTCAGATACTGGAAGGCTGCTCTGAGGTCTCCACGCAGCCTTCTCTTCTCCAGGCTGAACAGCCCCAACTTTCTCAGCCTGTCTTCATACAGGAGGTGCTCCAGCCCCTGATCATCCTCGTGGCCTCCTCTGGACTTGTTCCAACAGTTCCATGTCCTTTTTATGCTGAGGACACCGGAACTGCACACAATACTCCAGGTGAGGTCTCACAAGAGCAAAGGGGCAGGTTCACCTCCTTTGAGCTGCTGGTCACACTCCTTTTGATGCAGCCCAGATCAACTCCTGAACATAAACAGGGGGCAGTGGAAAATGCAGCCTGATTTTTCCCCCGTGAATGGGGACAAGGAGAGTGCAATGCAACTCGAACAACATGTAGACAAAGGGACTTGGCCACGCACCTGTGTGAAGAGAAATGTTTGGGTGAGGATCCAAACAGAATTCATCTGCCAAGGAAAGGAGAGAAGGAAAATGGGTTGAAACCTGTAATTGTTTTACAAGTTGCCATAATAAATAATGCATTCATGTAAATTATTTCACTGGAAAAGAACGTGGAGGGAACTTGAGCAGAAGGATCATGCATTATGCATAAAAGGGAACTGTAAAAATATTATAGCAGCAGATTTGTGTCGCTGCAGTTAAAGTTGTGTCAGCTCTGTGGGTTTACATCCTCCTCTGTGGTTATAGATGCGGTCATTACAACTTACTCTGTGTCACCAGAGGAGCAGTCACTGAAAGAGGCCACCTGAAGCTGGAATGTGCCTGATGTTTCCATGAGCTGCTCCTGCAAAACCTGAAGCTCAGCATTTGGAAAGCTGCCTGTGATGCTCTGAGGATGGATCCTGTTCTCCATGGGGCTGTGCACAGCTCTCGGGGATGTTTGGAGGACAACACCCATCTCCTTGATTTTGGGATGTGCCCCGTCCCCTGGACCACTGGGTTTGTTTGATGTGGTGAGGGTTGCACAGGAAAACAGATGGATGTTGTTACAGGTTCATGCAAGTGCATGTCTTGGTTTTACTTGAAAGGAAACTCGGGAACAGATAGCGGTGCGGATGTGTTTGAGCATGCTGTCAGTGATCCCAGGGCAGGTTGGGCCCTGCTCACATGCAGGTGGCTTCTGGTTTGTCTCTGAAAATGGAGAGGAGAGAAAAACCAGGTGAGGTTTAATGCCAGGGCTTGTTGCTGCTTGCCCAGCCTGGTGAATCCTGCTGGGCAGTGGTGGCCACTCTTCACCTGCACCCCAAATGCTCCTGCTGTTGGACACCCAACATCTTCTTTATAGAGCATCCCTAGCAGGGCTGCTCCCCATCACCCCAGGGTAAATGGCCCTGCCACCAAACTATCCCCAAGGCTGGGCAGGACAGAGGGAATGCATGCAGGCTTAGGGGAGTGACACAAGAGCCAGGGCTCAGATCACCCTTTCTAGGGATGAATCAGAGCTAGCCATCACAGCCTTGCTTTGGAAAGCAGAAATGGTTTGGTTTTGGTTCCCCCTGGGGCTGGGCAGCCTGGGAGCTGGCAGCTCCAACCTGAACTGGATGGTGCTTCGTGCCTGTCTCTCTTTCCTGCTGCTTCATGCATGGTTTGCAAGAGGGTTCAGGCTCCTGCTGCCATGGCCAGAGGCCAGGTTGGATGGGTCTTGGAGCAACCTGCTCTAGTGGAAGGTGTCCCTGCACATGGCAGGGGCTGGAACTGGATGAGCTTTAAGGTCCAACACAGACCATTCTGTGATCCTGTGAAAGGGCAGGACAAGAAACTCAGTTTTCCCCAGGCTGCTGATACCACCCCTCTGTGTCTTGGAAGCTGGAAAGCTGTTGCACAACCAAAGAGACGCCAGGAAATTCACTTTGTGTAGCCTCACCCTGGAAATACAGATCTACAGCTCAAAACATCTCGAAAGAAATGTGCTGGATGTGCTTTCTGGGTGATTTGAAGTTTTCGTCTTAGCAGTTCTAAGTTAAAATCCAAAAGGAAGATGCTATTTCATCCAAGGACAGAAACAGGGGAAGAGCCCCTCATGCCCCACTTACATCATGCTCTGGTTGTATGGCTTCTCCTATCGTTTTTCCAGATGGCAAAGGAGGGTTTTCCAGAGAAGCGACTCACTTGTGAACCAGGAGGTTCTCGTGGTGGGTTTTATCCTGGAACAAATCACTGCCTTGGAGTAAACCAGGCTGAGGTTTGTAATGTGAAAAAATGAATACACGCTTATGTGCAGCAGTATTAATGGTTCCTCTGCAGCTGTCATTATCAGCCTGCTCAGGATATGAGTCTTAGTCACAGAATCATAGAATGGTTTGGGTCTGAAAGGACCTTAAGATCATCCAGTTCCAACCCCCCTGCCACGGGCAGGGACACCTTACACTAAACCGTGGCACCCAAGGCTCTGTCCAGCTTGGCCTTGAACACTGCCAGGGATGGAGCATTCACAGCTTCCCTGGGCAACCCATTCCAGTGCCTCACCACCCTCACAGTAAAGAATTTCCTCCTTATATCCAATCTAAACTTCCCCTGTTCAAGTTTGAACCCATTACCCCTTGTCCTGTCACTACAGTCCCTAATGAAGAGTCCCTCCCCAGCATCCCTATAGGCCCCCTTCAGATACTTGAAGGCTGCTATGAGGTCTCCACGCAGCCTTCTCTTCTCCAGGCTGAACAGCCCCAACTTCCTCAGCCTGTCTTCATACAGGAGGTGCTCCAGTCCCTGATCATCCTCATGGCCTCCTCTGGGCTTGTTCCAACAGCTAAACAGCTGTTAGCTCACAGCTAAGTCTTAAAACCTGAAGAGAAACCAGCACCTTTTCCTCTGTGAGGCTTTGCTGAGGCTTTTCCCTCAATTACATGCTTACCTCTTGGACTGCCCCATGTCCAACTTGTTTCAGGCTGAAAAGTTTTCTATTTGCTCTAAAATCCCCATTTTCTGGGTTTTGTGGTAGCCTGGGACCCATCAGTGTTTCTGGCGGGGCTGTGCCATGGTCTTCTCCTGCCCTGCCAAAACCCAGCTCTCACAGTGCAAGGGGAAGAGCAAATAACCCCAAGCTGCTGCTGGGGATAACGGTGCAGTTCCCGCTGTCTTTGCAGGGTTTGGAAGATTTATGGCTGTTTGTGCTGCAGCAGGGGTGAAAGAGGAAGGTGTCCTGTATCCTCCTCACCAAGACCCTTTGTACAACGTGCCGCCTCCGGCTGGAGGATGGTGGCAGCTTGCCACGAAAACTTGGCGTCTATTTCTGTTCCTTTTGTCTGCTGACCTGACCTGAGGAATCTCTCTGCTGGCAGCATAATGCAGAGGGGAAGATAATCAAGATCTCACCATAGATGTAGTTGTTTAGCGCAGATTTCACACTTTCCATTGTGTTTATTCCAATGGGGACAGCAACTGTTGGAATGCTGTGTGGTTGCTGAGGGCAGAGCCAGGGAGGGATGGGGCTGGAGCTCTTCTGGTGGCAGCTGGATGCAGGGAGAAATGGGAATAGTGGCCAAGAGTGCGCTATGCACCTCAAATCTGACCTCCTGACTTGAAACCGAGCCTTGGTTGGAAATGTTCTGCACTGCTGCATCTTCCCTATCAGCCTGGTACCTACAGCTGTGGGCTGAGTACTGCTTTTACTTCATCCTTCACTTGCCAGAGTGGAAAACCCCAAAACCCCTACGAAGCCTTGCATGATTTAGATATGATCATATGAAACTTGGCAGCAACAGCAAGCACGGTGTGCTCTGTTCACAGCAGCAGTTACGGAGAACTGGTGACTGGTTTTGGTGATGACTTTTTTCCACTGCACAGCCGATGGGGTTGTCCTCTTCTATCATGGTTTTCCTGTTGAGTATCAATGCCTGCAGGGAGCCTGGGGAACCAGGCCTTGGTGCTACTTCTGTTATTGTCAGTGGGATGTGTGTGGGGCTGAGGTCATCACCCTTAATCCTCTCTTTGGACACAGTCATCAGTGGGATTTCTGGATACAGCTGCCTCTGGGTTTGCAGTCTTCCCACATGGAAGACTTTGCACCATGCCCGTAGCTACATACATTTCAGGCCAAGGTGCAAGTTTCTTGGTTCTTTACCCATCTGATAAAATGAATATCTTTAGGGTAACCCCAAACCCATGCAACAGATCACCACCATCTTACACTGTGCTCTGTGCTCTGTTGGAAGACTGTTAAGGCAGGTTTGCAGGGCAAATTCCCATGTAAATAAGCTGAATGAAAGAGAGGGAGAACATCTTAAAAAGGTGTATTAAAATAGGTGTATTAATCAATTTGTTCCTTTAAATAAACATTTCAATGTTATGTGTGTTAAAGAAATGCAAACAATTGGCTGTGCTAGGTACACATGGGGTTTTCAAGGCAGCCCCAAAGAGATGCTGACCCCAGGTTGCTGCAGTATAGTTGGAGTTCTTTCGTGCTTCATAAGGGTAACTGACCAGGGGTATCTGGGCCAGAGCACCCAGATGTGGGGGACAGAGAGGACATGGACAATGAGCCTCACAACAGGGACCTAAGGACAGCATCTTGCAAAGACTTGCTGGAGGTTTATCATGCATCTATTTTATATATCTATATCTATCTGTATGTCTATCTTATCTATATGTATGTGCATACACCCATATATATTATCAGCCATCTTGAGCTTGTTATATGCACCCCCTGTTTTGCACAGTGTCTTTGGGTCGGTCTGGGAGAGATGCTCAGAGCCTCAGTGGCGTCAGTTGGTTCCACTGGAGCAATGCTGTTTTAGCAGTGTCTGAAAGCAGGACAGCCCAATCGGTGTCGGGTTGATTTTGGTTTCCCATAGGCTCTGATGGCCCTGCTGGGATTTCTGTGTTATGACAGGTAGCGGGATGCTGGTGGGATCACCCCTGTAGCTGTTAGGACCATCCCAACTTCTATTTCATCTCCTTCTGGTGTTTGGTCATAAAATCATAGAGTAGTTAGGGTAGGAAAGGACCTTAAGATCATCCAGTTCCAACCCCCCTGCCATGGGCAGGGACACCTCACACTAAACCGTGGCACCCAAGGCTCTTTCCAACCTGGCCTTAAACACTGCCAGGGATGGAGCATTCACAACTTCCCTGGGCAACCCATTCCAGTGCCTCACCACCCTCACAGTAAAGAACTTCTTCCTTATATCCAATCTAAACTTCCCCTGTTTCAGTTTTAACCCGTTACCCCTTGTCCTATCACTACAGTCCCTAATGAAGAGTCCCTCCCCAGCATCCCTATAGCTCCCCTTCAGATACTTGAAGGCTGCTCAGGTCCTCAGGTCCCCTGAGGGCTATCTCACCCCAACAGTGCTACATCTTTCTGGGGAACTCGTCAGGCAATTACTCATTGTGGAACCCAGGACAAACCACATGCGTGTGAGACATGACTTAGCACAGAGCTAAGGCAATGGCCATACATTTTATACTGCTGCATTTCCCTTAGCTAGTGCAATCTGGAGACTCAAAGGCATGTTTTGATCTTCTCCTAGCAGCTTTGCTCCTGCTGCGATTATCACTTTGTCTCCCTCTCCATCTACACCGCAGCAACCGTTCTGCTGGCAGTTTGGAAAACCATATTCCAAGAGTTAATTTGTTCAGGAGAGCATCCCATATGCCGCTCCTTTTGTTTTACGGCCGTAGAAAGCGGATCGCCGAATTAATGAATGCTAACGCCTGTGCGTGTTTCTTACTTGGGTTCCTTTATTCCCCTCTCCTTTCTGAACCAGAAAATGACAGATGGAGAGATCTCAGCAGGAAATGTCCACTCCAGCTCGAGCAGCCGGGCGCCAGCATCTGGGACTGCTTGTCGGACAAGGGCGAGGAGGGCTCGCGCTGGCCCAGGGATACAGCCACCACTTGCTCCGTCACCAACCTGATCAAAGACCTCAGCCTCAGCGACCCCCATGGCAACCCGTCGGCCCCCCCCAGCAAGCGCCAGTGCCGCTCGCTCTCCTTTTCGGATGAGATGTCCGGTTGTGGCTCCTCCTGGAGACCTTTGGGCTCCAAGGTCTGGACGCCGGTGGAGAAGCGGCGCTGTTACAGCGGGGGCAGCGTGCAGCGCTACTCCAATGGCTTCGCCACCATGCAGAGGAGCTCGAGCTTCAGCCTCCCGTCGCGGTCCAACCCGCTGTGCTGCGAGCATCCCGCCCTCAGCAGCCGCCTGGGGTGCCAGCCGAGGAGATCAGCCACGGGCGGGCGCGGGGTGGACATGCAGAGGTCCCTGTCCTGCTCTCACGACCACTTCTCCTCCTCGGAGTACTGCGTGCCATCGGCGAGCAGCACTCCTGCCTCCACACCGGAGCTGGGCCGACGGGCAGGGGGGCTGTCCCGGAGCCGCTCGCAGCCCTGCGTCCTGAATGACAAAAAGGTTGGCGTCAAGCGGCGGAGACCGGAGGAGGTTCAGGAGCAACGGCCCTCGCTGGACCTTGCCAAGATGACGCAGGTGAGAGGTGGTGGGGCTGGTCCTGCGCATGGGGCTCAGCGCTGAGGTGATGCTGTTCACTGATAAAACTCCTTTTGCGTCCTCCTAAGGCTGGGAGTGACTCAGATGTGATGGGGAAACGCATCCTTCTGTCTAAGGAGAAAACACATTCCCCTCCAAATGGATTACTTTAAGAAATTCCCACATTGCTGTTCTGTGCTGTGTTTTCCACACTGATCCCACCATGGCATTGTTTCCTCCTGGCATGTGTTTCCAGCAGGATTATGTTAAACCCCACGTTTTTGAGCTCAGGAGAGAGGAGCCCCATTGCTGCCATGGAGAGGTGAAGGCAGCACCCAAGGCACCTAACCTAGGCCCCGTTAGGAGTTGAATTCATACTGCTACAGTATGAGAATCTTAGCCTCTGTAATTTTCCACTCTGGAGATGTTATCATATTCATATTCAGTTGCAAGCACAGAGCACAACCTCCCACATCAATCTACTGCACAGAACCAGATAACACATCTGAGCCATGAACTGGGGAGGGGTTTGCTCCCGGGTCCTCTCCCTGCAAAACCAAGTCACTGGAGTTTGGTGAGGGCCAAAGAGAGATGATGCACTGAAGACAGTGTGAGCAACCTTTCCATTTCACACTCATGAAGCTTCTCTTTCTGCAGTTTCATGATTCAGCATTTCCCACATCAACAGTTTATAGTTGTAAAGTCAATGACACCACCCGTGCTGCAGAAGATAGAGATAATGGGGGGCTGAAGATCCCAGGGCTGCCACTGTGGGAGCAGGGAGCTCACCCTGGCCACCTCCCATGGTGGGCTATCTCCTTCTGCTGGCCAGAAAACTCACCCCTGGTTTTGGTTTAGTGCAGCTATCTGCTGTGCTTCATCCTGGAGGCAGCCATGTTGGGAGCATCTGCCCTGATTTTCATCATCGAACCATAGAATCACAGCCTGCTTTGGGTTGGATCTCAGAGATCACCCAGTTCCAACCCCTGCCACGGGCAGGGACACCTTCCACTAGAGCAGCTTGCTCCAAGCCCCTGTGTCCAACCTGGCCTTGAACACTGCCAGGGATGGGGCACCCACAGCTTCTCTGGGCACCCTGAGAACATGGCTTTGGCATGGGCAGGTGACCCAAGGATTACAAAAATCAGGTTACTCAGCCTCTGCAAGCACAGATACCATAAAGAAAGGGTCCCAAAGCCCCTTGGTGCAAGGCATGAGCACTGTAGGAATGGGGAAGGGATTACCTGGCATCTGCCCCAGTGCTGGTGGTGACAGGAGCAATGGGCACCCCCTTTCCCATCCTCTCCTCACCCGCTGATCCAGGCTGGGTGGCTGAATACCCAGCGGTTGCTACCACCAACATCCAGCACCACCATTACCAAGGAACTCTGTGACTGGGATCCAGCCCAAGGCACATCCTGTGGAGCATCACCAGTTTCCAGGGAGGAAACCCAGCCTGGTTTAGGTTCCCATGGCAGCGGGTGGATCCCGGAGGCAGGGATTTAGGACTGCAGGATGGGAAGAAAGGGAAGCCAGGAGCTGGATGAGGCCAGGGTTTTCATAGCTATTGAGCTATGAGGAGCAGTGCTGGCAGGCTGCTCTCCACGTGGGAGGACTGGCACAGAGGGAGGAGCAGGATTAGGCAAGTTATGGTGAGCATTCTTGCCTTTGGTGGGGCGTGGGGCACGGTCAGAGCCCTCCCCGGGATGGGAATGCTGTGAAAAGTAACTAATTCCTCGTGGGCAGAAGGACACAAGGGATAAGTGTGCTCAAGGAAGCCCTGCAGGCTTGGGTATTCCCTCAGGCTGTTTTAATGCCTCTCCTGGGATGAGACTGGAAAGTTAGGTGTTAAGAGCTGAGATCGTGGTGAGGTGTCCGCGTGGCTGCACGTGTCCTCTAGTCTGGCTTTATACGGAGTAGGAATGACTTGTGTGCAATGGTCCTCATGAGTCAAAGCAAAGGAAAGCCAACGTGTCCAGACTGGGTTTCCCAGTGTAACTCAAAGCATTCACTTTACAGATAGGGAAACTGAGGCACGAGGCATGCCATGAATCCCTGGGAATGGAGCTCAGGGTGCTGGGTGCTGGATCCACATCCAGCTCTGGCAGTGGATTGGTTAATTCTGGGCTTGTGCTGTAACCACATGTGTTATAGGCCTGAAACCTGGTACCACAATCGAAATAGGACTAATTTGACCTGAAAGCAGTGTTTTCTTCATAGCAGGAGGGATATTCAGGCCAGGCAGGAAAGGAGGGAGCCACTCCTGGAAGCAATTACATGGCCACATAACTGGGCTAATGAAGAAAGAGACCTAAATGTTAAAGTTCTGCTAGGAGGGAAAATCCTGGGGAGAACATTGCTGTTAATTCCTCAGAATCCTGGGTTTGCCTCTTCTCTCAGCAATTCCCATAGCTCAGAGAGGGGAGGTGATCCCGTATCACTCCCCTTACTTACTCACACAGCATCAAACCAGAGAGGCTTTGGCTTCAGGCAGAACCCAAACCAGGGACATAGTGGTTGCTGAAATAACGGCAACTTTTAGGAGCCAGAGCAGCATGAAAATCCTTCTGCATGCCTGAAGTGCCTGCAAATGCTCTGCTTTGGGCCTTTAAAGTGGGTATAAACCTGGTGGGTGATACTCAAGCAAGTGGGTGATGGTGATGTGTAATGTATCCCCAGTGTCCAGAGGCAGGTGAGATGTGAGGAAGACAGTTGCTATGGGCTTGGGTACCAGGGGAGCTGCCTGGCATCCCTGACCACCCTTAAACAAGGACATCAACCATCCTGTCATTTCAGTGTGGGGCTTGGGGTTTGCTTTCCAACGTCAGCTTTCATTCCCCTTTTCCATGTGAAGCACAAGCCTGAGGAGGACAACATCCAACCTCTGGAATCCCATCAGTTGTTCTGTTGGTGTGTGGCTTAATCTTGCAGCACTGTGCTCTCCTTCCTAGGTGCAGTGCTTGGTCTTGCAGCTCCAGTGACTGTGTCCATAAGGCAGGCTGTGCTTAGAAATGGTCAGGGTTAGATTTCCCCATGAATTGGGATGTTTCTCAAAGAGCTGGTGTGGATGCACCTCAAAAATGTGGGAGATGGGCAATGTTGTAAGGGTGGCAGGAGGTGGCTTGGAACCCAGCTGTCCTGGCTGGGTTGATTTTGGCAAGAACGGGTGCTTTCACCCTTTGCAAGGCACCAGGAGAAGCTGTTTGGGTGAGAAAACATGGATTTGCTAAGCAGTCTCCCAGGGATGCTTTGTGATGGAGAGACACCTGCTTGGTTTTCCTCTCCCATGGTCTGGTTTGATTCTTCTCCAAAGGGTACCTTGCTATGTGTTGACCTGGGGACTGGTCATGGCCCACCTCCATGTCCACCACTTTCCACCATCTCTATGTCAGCGTTTCCCACAGGATTTGGGGTGTTGTGTGCCGGAACCCTTGCAGCAGCGGGTTTGTCTGAGTCATCTGTGGCAAGCAGAGCCATGGCCAGCCCTGGTGGAGCAGATTGCTGTCCTCACACAGGCTTAGTGTGAGGATGTGACGTGCCTGTCACAGCAGTGACAGCCGCCTGAGTGACAGTTTGCAGTCGTCCCCGGCAGCGGCAGAATGAGCCCTCGCTATCTCCTGCCCCTTCTGTTTCCTGCCTTGTAACACTTTGGTATGGGTGTTCCTGAGAGATTTTCATTTGAGATAGCACATTTCCAGACCCAGCTGTCCTTCTTGCAGATGTTTTTTAAGCAAATCACCTATATGTATAAGTGGTATATATATATATTTTATATATATATATATTTATAACAAGTCATATTTGTATAACTGACAGAAGGGAGACTGAGATGAGCTCTTAGGCAGAAGCTCTTCCCTGGGAGGGTGCTGAGGCGCTGGCACAGGGTGCCCAGAGAAGCTGTGGCTGCCCCATCCCTGGCAGTGTTCAAGGCCAGGTTGGACACAGGGGCTTGGAGCAAGCTGCTCTAGTGGAAGGGGTCCCTGCCCGTGGCAGGGGTTGGAGCTGGATGAGCTTTAAGGTCCCTTCCAACAGAAACCATTCCAGGATTCCACAGTGTGAAGATCCAGCCCTGCAGCACAAGAAGCCCTTATTATAAATCTATGGCAAAGCTGTGGCAACAGAGTTTGGAAGATAGCTCTCAGGAAGCTTACCAGCTCAGTCCTGCTTGTTACGGAGTCAGCACCTTTGTTTTGCCGCGGTTTGGTTAAGATCATCACCATGGTAATGCAGTCCTGACGTGGAGTCCATCAGGGTCCAGGCGAAGGGCACCAGCAGCTGAGGTCTGGTGAAGCTCCTCTTTCAGTCCATGTTCCTCCAGGAAAGGTTCAGCCCCACCAGCTCCTTGGGGCATGTGCAGGAACAGCCTCTGGGCGTGGAAAACTCCCTGTGTGCATACAGAGAGAACAGCTTTAAGGGACGTGCCTGGGGGATGGAGGGTGGGTGCGCTGAGCAAGGGGTGAGAGCTGGATGAGTTTTGAGGTCCCTTCCAACACAAACCAGGCTGGGATTCTATGAGAAACTAAATTTCTGATGGCTCCCACAAGGGTTTGGCTTCTCTGTGAGCCTTCAAAGCATCTGTAATTTGAAGAGCTCCGTCTCTCATACAAATACTGTACTAATGTCTTCTTCACCTGAGTTTTCTCTAACCTCCTTCCTTTCCTGTGAGGGTTTAGCCATGTACACTGAGGAGTCCCAGACAGCTGGCAGACTACTTCTCCATGAAGCTCTGTATTGTACAGTGTGGCCTATAGTATATGGGACAGAGAGTAGCGGCTACAGAACGATAAGGCAATTAAAGCACAATATGCTCTTGTATCCTGTGGTTATGAGTTCATCATAAATAGCTGTGAAGGGTGGAGGAGAGGGCACTGGCAGCAGTGGACACCAGCTCAGAAGGTGGTGAGGATGAAGCACTGGGTGTGCCTGATAAGGACTTGTTATAGAGCAGACTTTGTGCCTGAAAGGTGCCTGTTACGGGAAGGGTGCTGAGATGCTGGGTA